CTTGGAAAATAGGAAAATATTTGCTTTTCTAGATTAAGTGCTATCAGGAAAGAACATTTCTGAAAAAGTGCCAGGCTTGGCCTTCTTGTTGGCACAGCACATAGTGTTGAGAAGTTAGTTCAAGGTCTGTGTAGCAGGCTTTGTTTTTTAAATGCTTGTTTCTATTTGTTTGACAACTTAGCTTTGTCTTTATCTCTTTTCTTTCCCTGCACTTCCTATATAGTGATTGGATTTTCAAACTTTAGTGTGAAAGAGTGTGTATCATATTTTCTTTCAGAGCTATGATTCACATATAATTCTATATGTGTATGCATATACATACATTTGACATAGGGTTTAGGGCCTCTGAGGACTCAAGATTCACAACTTAAAGACAAAGCCAAATTCAAATAGCTATGAAGCCTTGAGGCCACATCAGGCCATATAAATCACCTGCTGTGTACTTGATAGCACTTCATTCTTATCTTGTCTTTGTTTCTACAGTGATTGCATTTCTCTTTTCTTTAGTGAGTAGTGGCCACTCTTTCCCTATCTCTCCTTCCCTTGCATGCCAAGCACACAACATAAAACTGAGCCAATTATATTGTACTTAGGAATTGATTAAATGATTGAAGGAATTAAGGGCCATTGGTGTTTTTTTCTGGCTATTGTATACCCAGCACCTAACCCAGTGCTGGCTCATAGGAGGGACTTTGTAATTTGCCGTGTAATCTTTGAATGACTTTGTTCTGTTTATTGGATGTACTAGTTTATATAGCTCTTCTGAGACTTCATAGCAAAGTAAAATATGTTTTATATCAACTTAATCTTGGATTCAAAAACTTCAGTAGATACTACTAACAGTTCCAACCTTATATCTCAATTAAACTGTTTGTATCTTTATGTCTACTTTCCCTTTTCATCCTACAACCCACCACTCAATGTCTTAGATTCAAAATACTCATCGGCACTTATACACTCTACAAGCTCTCAACTCCATGCCTTTCGTGTCTTGGTTTTTCTCATTCATACCTTTGATCAGGCAACACTAATGTATCAAGCGTTTACCAAGCACCAAGTATTGAGCAAGTTTCTGACCATGCAGATATGGAACTTATTACCCTCCACTGGCCCTCATACAATTTAATTTTCCAAAGAAGGAACTCTGCATAAAAACAGAACATTATAATATTGTAATTTAAGTCCTAATAGGGAGGGGAAAAAACTAAGACAATACAGGTGAGTTCTTCATACCTTTTCTTGCTCCTGATGTGTCTATTTCCCGTGTCTGTCTTCTTCGTCAATAGATGTTAATATTCTGCTTATCCTTCAAGAACCAGCCCAAATCTTTCTTCTTCATTAAGTTTTTCTCAGTTGTTTTGTTTTTATTCCACACTCCCTTGCCCATAAATGCCTTTTATTGTGGTTTAGGGCTTCTGAGGACTCAAGATGCATGACTTGAAGACAAATCCAAATTCAAAAGTTATGAGGCCTTCAGGCCGCATCAGGCCATATAAATCACCTGCTCTGTACTTTGATAGTACTTCATTCATATCTTGTCTTTATTATTATTGTGATTGCATTTCACATTTCTCTTACCCTGATTGCAGAAATTAGCCTGTTTTAAGTGATAGGGCCACATCACACTTTTCACTCAGGCTGGCTCCAGGCATTGACACAGGTTCAGGGCTACTGTATAACATGAAGAGACAGTATCAGGTGAAATTAAAAACAAGCACTCTGTAACAAGTAGATGTGAATTCAAATTCCGGCTTTAAGACTGTCTAGTGGTATGACATTGACGGTTACTTAACTTGTCTAAGCCTTGTTCGTTCATCTATAAAATGGAGGTAAAAGCATCGCAAGTTTTACATGTTTGGAATGAGGATAAAATGACACAGAGTACATGTTAAGTGCAGGTCTCCATATAATTTTTATTGCTTTGTTGCAATCCTCCATTAGACTGTGAATAACTGTAAGTTACAATTGTGTCTTTTCCGTTTTCATGCCCTCATGCAGTTCTTTACATATTGTAGGTTTATTGAATGGAAACACTTGTTCTTACTTCGTCACGCCATTCTTCCACGGCACCCTTCCCCTCCCCACATGATTCATTTCAGTTGAAAGATCCCAAAGTCCTTTCTTGTGTTGTTCTTTACCTATATGTTGTGGTCTGTTGCCACAGCAACCAAGACATGGTTGAAAAATCAGTCTTCTATTTAACTTCTCTCTTTTGAATTCAGAATGAGGAACAAATGGGTCAACTTGAAGGATGTGTTTGTCTTCTAGTCAGACAAGTGTTTGCTTCATGTGGAAAGTCTCTTACTGTTAACTCATTTCTTATATTTTAAAGCCTGTTTCCTATTCTTGGGGGAAATCTAAATCTTTATTGAAGTTTGTTTTCTTCTGGATTCCAAATAAATGGTTTTGAAATCAGCATAACATTTTCAGGATTTATTTTAGCAACAGTTTATTATGTTTAATAGTTAATAGTTTATTACGTAATTATTTATTACATTTAAAATTATGCTCTGTGTCTCAGGTACATGTGTTGAAGGGTCTAGAGGCCGAGTTGCTCATAAGAAGGAGAAAGCTAACCAGACATAACAAGTTAATGTTAATTGACATTAGTGTGACAATGTCCTGAATTATCCTCACCATGCATATTACTTAGAATGTAAAATATTCCCTTTATTTCTAAAATGTTTTAGGCCTAGTAGTTTTGAAATAGCTATAAAAAGTTTCTTTCATCACATTCTTAAAGAAATACTGTTGACAAGTTCAATAACAATAATTGGCTTCGCATCCTCAAAAGTGGGCTTCTTCAGTTTACCACTGATTGCAGGAATCAATGGTGTAAGGGATGGAGCCACATCACGCTTTTCACTCGGGCTGACTCCAGGCGTAGCACAGGTTCAGGGCTACTGTATAGAATGAAGAGACCGTATCAGGTGAAATTAAAAGCAAGGACTTTGAAACAAGTAGAACTAAATTCAAATTGCAGCTTTAACACCGTCTAGTGGTATGACATTGACAGTTACTTAACTTTTCTAGGCTTTGTTCATTCATCTATAAAATGGAGGTAAAAGCATTACAAACTTGACATGTTTGGAATTGGATCGGATGAGACAGAGTACATGTTAAGTGCCTGTCAGTATAATTTTTATAGCCTCAACTCATTGCTGAGGAGGGGTGTTCATTCTTAGTTAAGAAGCTAGTGAAAGACTGTTATTCAGCTGTCTGGCAAACTGAATTTCAGCTCTCTACTGTATTATCTAGAATATCTGTCTCATTTTTTTCTGTCTATAAAACTACAGCATGTTTAGTTTGATCTGTCTACTTAGCAGGGATTTAAGAACAGCTAAGCTAACAAACGAGGAGAAAATACCTTTGGATTCTTTAAATGAAAAGTATCACAAAAATAAGAGTTCTATTGATACTGTAAGCTCAATTCAAACCAAATCTGACATAAACTTATTATAAGAATACAGGCCATTGAGACCTTATCCTTTGTGGTAACCTAAGGATATTGAAATCATTTGCTGATATGACGGTGCCTAGAAGTATTGCTTATCTTACTTCTTACAGGAGAAGCTGCATTGAAAAAATATGTTACCTGAGCTTATAGCAGGTTCCTCTTGATGATCTTTTCCATGAAATGAAAGTTCAATGCTGTTCTTAAAATAAGCATTTCCTGTGACAAAACATTACAAAATGTGCCTCTGCATAACTGTCATATTTCAAAATACATGCTCCAGTAATTGAAGAAAACCTGAATCATACGAACATTGAAGATGAAATATGTGAATATAAAAAATTGAAATTACAGGCTAGTAGTGGACTCCCAGAAATTTAAAGATGTAAAAAGCCTTAGAGATAACCTAATCTTTTTGTCATAGGTGACTTATTGATATTTAAAACAAAAACAAATCTTTTCTAACACTAAATGTTCAACATGTATTTTTGTCACAGATGATGTATTGATTTTTTTCTTAAAAATTGCAAAAAGTAATAATTTAGCCAAATAGTGAGACTGAGGGTTCGAAATAGGATTCTAGTTATGTTGAATGAGATAGTTCAATTTCACAATTTTAAATGTCAACAATTACATGAAAATGTGAATTAGAAGCAGAAATACATTCCTAGGCCTTGATAGACCCGTAAAGATATTTTGTTTTTAGATTCTGAAATCTGTGATACTCAATTATAAAAATGGGATAAAGTCAGTGGCTCATGCCTGTAATCTCAGCAGTTTGGGGGGCTGAGGTGGGTAGATCACGAGGTCAAGAGTTCAAGACCAGCCTGGACAGCATGGTGAAACCCCTTCTCTATGGAAAATACAAAAATTAGCCAGGCATGGTGGCATGTAACTATAGTCCCAGATACTCAGGAGGCTGAGGCAGGAGAATTGCTTGAACCCTGGAGGCAGGGGTTGCAGTGAGC